TTCCACTGTCATATTATAAGTTATATGACTATACCTATTATATTATAGTACAATATACGTATTATATTATGTTTGTACAATTATTTTTCTCATGTGGAAACACCCGTTATTGGCGGACGGGTGCTCGACGCTCGTGTGTAACTTATCTGCTTTCTGACGACCAATATAATTCCATTTTCATTCCGTGCGCCTGAATACTATACAATAATATGGTTTGAAAATATAATACATATATTACTGATGTCCGATATTATTATATACTGGTTATATAAGGTACACATTGTTATGTTATACTTAACCATCGTAAGTACATAATACATAATATTATATTATATAAAGTATATAATTTAACGAATTATAATGTATTTTCGGTATTTCGGTACATACCAACTTTTATTTATATACGTTTATATTATTAATATTAAGTTCCTGTGTTATACCTACCTAGTAACTTCTATTGATATTTAACCAAATTCGATAGAAAATAAAAACACTGATACACTGTAGTTTATTAGTTATTACAATAATATAATAACTAACAAGGCAGTACGACTATCAAATTATGAAACGAAAATAAAGCCGTACCGCGCAGGCGGCATGCTGCAATTAAAAACGAACTACACAGAATTATTTCTTAATTCCGCCTTGTTTCACACGCGATGTACATAATGTAAATCAATTTACCACTTTAATTCATATTGAGTGTTCTCTATTATCCCGAATCACAATTAATACGCTCATGTGTGGTAATATATTGTAAACAATTAAAATGCGGCCAATTTATCCGATGAAGTCGACGACGACAACGACTTGGTGCTAAAACAAAATCAATAAAAATCATCTGTGTTGTCATTATTATTGTCGATGAGTATAGAATAAAAATACCATACTATAAGATATAAACGAACGGCAATCGGATTTCGTAAATACAATATTTCGTGTGTTCGTAATGTTCGTATTATAACATACAGACAGGTACTTACGTGGTTTGTATTATTTCCGAACGGTGGGTAGGTCCTATATAGGTAATATTTTTATTGGAAGATTTCGCGTTAAAATCACATGGCACGTTCATGTGTTATAATCTACTTTACTACAGCCCAAAACCTTTTGAGCGGAGCAAAATGCACGCACAGCCTTCCGAAATATTGTTGTAAACAGATTACGGTTTTATTCTATTATAGAAATATCGCCGTTTGTTGTTTTTATTTTTATTTGTTACATTTCGTTCAATGCGAAACAGAAATGTCAACGAATGTATATTGTTTAGTGAGTTTTCGATAAGTAACCTTATACAGGGTGATTCACCAATAACGAATTAATTCTAATTCTGATGTTTGGTACCTTCTAAATATATACCTACTTAAAAACTATATATTTTTAAATTCCTGTAACCTGTGGCTATAAAAACTTCTTTTTTTCTTCTGAGTATCTCCCTTTTTTACTGTAAATTATTTAGTGGATGATTTTTTAAATTTTGATGTAGGTACCTATATCTAATTCAAAATTAAACGAGTTATTTCTCAGATACTAAAATGCTTATAGTAAGCAAATATAAAAGATATTCGTATTGGATCTAGTATTTATTATACTTAGATCATTTTTACAAATTATAAATGTTGGTTGACTAATATTAATTAACTATTAACATTTTCAAATCATTATGGTTAGAGGATATGACATCTGTATTTTCCATGGATTATTTAAAAAACATACTTATCCTTAAAAACCAAAGTTAAATAAATCAAAAACTACAAATTTGAATTTTGATTTTGTTAGGTACGTAAATATTTTCAGAAAAATCATCTGTTGTATATAATTTACATTAAAAGAAGGGAGTTTTCATTTAAAAAAAAAATCACAAGAATTTTAAAATATGGGCTTATAGTACCTACCTACATGTAAAAATTCTAAAAATCAGATTTTGAATATCAAACCGTGTATTAAAAAAAGGGTGAGTTTACATGGTCAATTACTCAATTACCTTATATATATTATAAATGTCCATATGTTGACTATACAGTTTATATTATATATTGTACCAGTGGGTGTATTTTAATGGTTTTTCTAGGGTGTATTTTAATTATCATTAAAAATTGTTTATTCATCAATAGAAAATATACTATATTACTATGTCACCTATACTATGATAAAATATTAATGAACAATAAATAAAATAAAGCTCAATGCAACTTTGAAATAAAAACATAACATTTTTTTCTATTACCTATATATGTATAGACAGGTAGTTAAAAATAATTATGTGGACAGATATATCATTAATTTTGCAAGTGAAAATTTTTTTTTTAGAAAGGGGATGGAGAAGCTTGGAGTACATTTCATCCCCCAATTTTCAAAGTTGTATAATACCCGGTAATAAGGATAAAGCACAGGATTAAAAGCACAACCAGCACAAACGAAGCACAAACAAATGGCGTTAGTTTGGTTTTGAAATACCGTGGTTAGTGGAATCATGGCCACCACTTTGAAAGTTGGATAACTTGAGAAGGGGTTGAGTACAAACGACGCGATTAAAAGTACAAACCAGCACAATGTAATGGAGTTAATTATGTTTCGAAATTTAAAATATTCTACGTCATTTGTATTTTTTTGACTTTTGAAGTGTCATGGTCTACTATCAAAAAAATGATTTACTAGGTATATAATATATACCTATTAATTAGTAAATTATTTTTAGAAGTTCAGTACTATATAATATATAGTACTGAATTTCTAGTACCTAATATTATTAATTAATTTTTATGTCAGCTTATCTACAGTGTTTACAATGGCATTAATAAAGTTAATTATCTATAGGTAGGTACCTACTTAAAAAATGTAATTGCAATAAGTTAAATTTATTTTTATGTTTTTAAATAAAATAAATAAGATATTTTTACATTTAGGTATATCTTTGTGATTTGCTCTTGGGAAAATTTACCTTTCTAATATTAAAATATGCACTTTACAAAATTACAGATATTCCATTCCATGCATTACTTTTTTTCCAGTCCACGCCTGAGAGTGTAGGTACTTATCACCTATATTTTATACTAAATTTGTATTTGAGGGACAATATTATAATAGTAATGGGAAAAAGTCGGATGGGTATCGGATTCGTCGTCAAATTATACGTCTGTCTTTTTTTCCTTTTTATATTATATATTATTATTATTTGCGACCAGCAGCTGTTCCATTTATATCCCATTTAGATAATATATTTCACACGCACGCGTGTGTGAATCATACCATAGTAATAATAATATTATACACGTTTGCAAAAACGTGTGCGGTGTATTTATTGTGAATCGGTGAATTGTGTAGTGTACATTTCCTGCATTTTCAGAGACGACTTGTCTAGAGAGGTTGTATTATTATTACTATAATTGTGTATGCACGACAAAAATGGGATCATATAAATAAAAATAATATACAGTATAATAATAATAATAACAACAACACCGTGGTTGTCGTGTCGTCGACACAGGTCTAGCGTTCGACATCACTACAACACGCCTAAACACAAACAATTTGAACACTATAGCCTATATACTTTGACCTACGGGTCCAACATTATATTATTGTATCCATTCATCTGTTTGAAAAATAATAATAATAGGTACCTACCTACTTCTTATAATATTAAACAAGTATAGTCGACCCATCGTCGTTCCAGGAAAAATATTCATATCAGCTAGCAGTGCAGGATGTAAAACGTTCCTTTAGGGATGGTCACGTACCATTTTGCCGTTTATTGTCAAAACATCGTCTCGCAGCTCCCGAAATCCTATCGAAACCGCACATTCATAGTCGTATGGACTACACCCCCACACCAAGACATATATATATTATAATATAATATATTATACATAAAAAGATGTTTTTAATCTCTATCTGAGATCGACGAAAATGCTGACATATTTGGTCACGATCGATATCCGGTGGACGTCGTGACAATAATGTGATTATTATATTATTATTATTATTATTGTATTATCCCAAATACAATGCGACGCGCTTCTGCTGTGGTGCTGCTGGTCAACCCATTCACTCCCGCGCGTCCGTCCGACCACGGTTCGGGTATACCGTGCTCGTGTTATAATATAATGAAGTGCGTATATTTGCACGTCCGGGTGTGTATACGAATTATATACCGTGAGCATTGTGCTCGGACAATCCGGGAAAATGGAACGCGATTGTCGTTATGCTAACAAAAACGGCCGTACCTACATATAAATGCCGGACGTCGACTCGAGGGCACGTTTCCGCAGCGAACGGGGTGGTCATCTTCATTATGTGTGTGGTGATTATTATTATATTATATTATGTGTCTTTTCAAACTGCATCCTCCCGTCCCTTATACTATCATGTATATTATGTTTATATATTATATACCTATATAGTACCTAACTGATGTCCGACATAGCGTTTGTATTGATACACGTCTTATATTCCTTATATATAATACGCATATAAATATATAATTCAGTGAACTGTTGTCGTGTCAAAGCTCAAAGAGAACGGAAAAAAGTTTGATAAATCAAGTTTTAATGTAGGTAATATACTAATATGGTAATTATTGTATAATAGTATAATAATATGATGAAACAATCGCCGAACACACTCGATCGAAGGGGTGGTGGGAGGGTGTGTGGTAGTGCAGAACATAAAAATAAAAATAAATACCAACTCCTATTTATTGCAACATAATTTTGTTTAATCGGTTTCAGCGTTTTCAATTTTGCATTTCCGTTTTTAAAATATTAGTTTCTACATCGCCTATAATAATTCTTTGTCAAGTACCACCTATACTATGCCACACAATAAACATTATGTTTCCGAACCAGATACATTAAACGGACGTACTCAGAATTTTAATTTTGGAGGTGATTATTATTTATTTTAGTTTCGTACTGTTTTTAAACGATGATTATAATATCGTATTATATAAGAGCCACGTGACGCTGATGAAAATCATTTACAAAGCATTTTCGTTGTTATTATAATACAGATTTTTTGTGGTTCGTCACGAGTGTCACCGAGGAGTCCACGGCAAGCTGATCGGTGTCCTCGACGACTGCTGCAGAGGCGGGTTTCACGGGCTTTTTCCGTTTCAAAGCGATCTTTTTCCGTGGAGGTGATTGCAGTGGAGGATGTGGCTCCCGTGTGGGCAAAGACGAACCAGATGATTTTTCGTCGTCAGCGTCGTAACTTACGGTCTGGTAAACGATGCCGGATGAGACGTCGTTTCTACGGCATGATGGTTCTGAGCAGTCCTCTGAATTTTCCGAAATAGTTTGTGGCAGTCTGCGGTCTCTGCGTGACATCTGATTATCTTATTACAACGTTATTATATTGTGCAGAGAATTACTTGTTATTTGTGTTTAGTTATCTGGCAGAGGGATGAAATTTTGTGTGAAAAGTGTTATACGATAGTTTTAGTATGTACGCTTCGAAGTTCAAGTCGTACTATATTATTAATAAAATGTGTTAAAATAAAAACCCTCTGTCTCCATGCGTTTAATGTTATTATAATCGTAGATGTTTTTTCTCTATGCCAAAATTAACATTTTATTCGATATTATTTACACAACACCGCGAGTACCTACCTATATAATATGTATTTTAGCCAGCTGCATGTACAGTAAAATTACGACCTAGTCTACGTATCTAAATTCTTAAATATAAATATATTATATTATATCTACTAAAAAATACTATATATATATATATATACATATTGGAATATTGCATCCCCTTATTGTACAGTGTCAGGTCCAGAGGGGGTGAATAGTGGACTCCCCCTCCACCTAAACCACCAACCTTCCTTAAAACCAACGTATAATATAAAATATCTCAATATAATATGGCTTTTAATATAATATTAGTTACTAATAATAATTGCGATCAATTAAATAAAGGCTTGAGCATTGTCCGCACCAACAGTTAGGGTATATATAGTTCGCCCCTGTGTACACCAATGTGATGTAATACAACACACGTATTCACACCAGCTCATTTTTCTTTATTTATAACTTATAAGTAGGTAACTGTGTAGTTTTTCTTCTTCTCCCAACAGTTATTTTATTCAGTAGCGTACATACAAATTATTTTCACTATGGGCCAATTTATCACTATAGTCAGCCAGCGCGACTAACATAGCCAGGAGCTGGGTGGTTATAAATACAAATACAAATTGGGCAATTAAATTTTATAATTATTATGTAAATTTCATTTTTAATTTATTTTTTAAAAAAAATTACAATTTCATACATACATATATATTTTAATGTTATCTTATTGTGAATTTAACACATACAAGTCATCAAAGGAAGTCCTGAAAATCTAACATTTCCCTGTTGATTCCTCAAAACGATTTTAATCAATCGGCTAAATTAATCATGGTGAAAAACTGTAAACAGTGTAGATATACATGAAATGGTTTAATTCAACCTGCAATTTTATTTCACTATGGGCTCTGGCCTAGGAGGCCTCCCCCCTATATACGCCACTGATTTTATTGTATTACCTATTCGTTTTTATTTCGTATTCTCCCGTTTTTGATAATTATTCTTCAAACCAAAAACGCGCCTGAGGAATTTCCTTTCTAGCACAATTGGATTTTTCTCCCCCTCTTTTGATTTGATCTATGTCTCAAGTGCTTATAAAATTATAGGCATTGTATAATCGCTTTTTTAATTATTTTGATATTAAGACTTGAACCTGCAGGTTTTCTGCTTCGCGAAATAGCATCTGTTTGCACATTTGCAGACTTAATCCACGCGTAGTCACATCTCCTCATTTATCATTATAGTGTTATTATCAGTCATTACTTATTATTATTATTATGATATCGTAATATTATATACAGTATATGAAAACGCGATTTCCGTTCGAGCCTCCACGCGTTGGGTCATCGGTATAAATCGGTATTCTGGCCGGTGGCCAGGCGTTTCATTCTATACACAGAGATAACCCCGCACGTTTTCGAGTATATGTTGGCCAGAAATCAATATTAACCATGTTGTATATAACGCGTAACTATACATAATATGTACATGCTGTAGAGTTTCGCGACACGCATCCGAGTACATAATATACTTACCGCGATGATTCGTCATAACTCCTGTCTCCTGTATGGCGTATACTCTTCCCCCGATCATCATCCACGAGGAGGACGGGACTTGAGGAATACGGCCGTCAACGACGTCAAAAGCCCTTCAGCCGTCGTACTATAATATTACATATACACACACAAATATATATATATATATATACACATATATATTGTCCACGAATATGCGGATTGTATATAAATAAATATTGTTATAAATAATCATTATTAAACCGAGACGTACGAGTTTTACGTTACGAACGTGGTGCTATATAATAATTTACGAGAGATTTATGCATTAAAATAACAGACGACTATATTATAAAGTTATAAATTTATATTAGATATACATAATACATATTATGCATTGAGGTTCGCCATTTTCGTATATCATAATAATTTATTAATTGTAATCATTATAATACTGGTATACATTGGTATTAGTACAAATAAGTGCTGTCACTTATTATTTTGTAGTTGTAACTACCTATTAAACAAATTCCGACTCTATAGTCATTAATATAAAATATTGTATAGCTATTCAAAATAAAATCTGAATATAATACTCGAATACCTATTCGAATTAATATTATATAAATGTAAAACATACAACTAACTTTCAATTAAAATAAATCAAAGTATTATATAATTTCATTGTAATAATTTTGTCGTAATACGTTTGTACTTTGTAGCAAATCCTAGTCATTTAGGTAGAGTTATTATTCCCACTAAAGCCATATCCTGGTAGAACAGGGAAGTATAAAAATGCCGTTGTAATAAATTCATTGGCCGCAATGACTTTAAATATATAAATTATGAACACAATGGAAATATTAAATGTGTTAGTTCGTCTTTTAAATGTGTATAATAATTAATATTTACAGCGTGCTTAAGTTCTGACCGTTGGCAGTTTCATCATAAAACGATTATTTCACGACTAAATTTGTTTTTCCCGTTTTTCTTTTATATACATTAAATAATTTCGTTTTGGTTTATGCATTACAGGTAACTCGAATAAGAAAGAATCAAAAAGGATATTATACAAAAAGGGCACATGGTGCGTTTGTATATGATGTACGAAATACGTCAGTATATCAGATCGGATAAGATAATCGTAGTCCGATGGTAATAATGGAGTGGGTCGTTTTGTTTACAGTGATCGGTGCAGTGCGCCAGAAGCGAACGCCATAGGTAAGGGCAACAGCAGCAGATTAAACCTGATAATAATAATAATAATATAAAAAATGATACAAGCCGGTATATAAAGTATAATAATAACCGTATATAATATATATTTATACGTATATAATAATATGAATGGTCGTCGTCGTCAGTCGTATATACAGCACAGACGGAAACCGGTAAAATAGATGGATCAATGGTGATAAAAAGAAAAAGAGTAAATGACTATAGAGTGCATCAAAGATACAGACGGCGCGGGATTATTCATGAGTAACTCGCGTGAAGTGTAACGTAACACAAATAACAAATGGTATTAAAATGTACACATTAATTTGAAGAATATATAATATAAGTATATGACGTGCTGCTCACTGAAGAGAGAGTGAGATTTTCGAAAACCTTTTATACGCAGTGTACATATATATAGCCATATAGGTAATACTTATATACCTACATAATATCTTATATACTATATATAGGTAGGAACCTACTCCGACGACCTCATAATATTATAATATGTGTAACAATTAATGTATTATTGTGTTAAAACCATTTCGATTTATTGATAAAATAAATATGTATTTAGTCGTGTATAGTTCGTATAAAATGATACGATTTGGACCGTAAAAAATAACATTATTTTTATTGTAATATATTATTATCGACTATTGTTTGAAAATAACATCTGTCCAATACCACTATATGTATATTATGGGTACCGCGATGTATACAGTCATATTATAAAATATAAGTGTACTTACTATGTGTTTAAAACGATTATGCACGTCTGATGTTTATCGCAATTTTTAATATCAGTCATATAAACACAAATCAAAAAAATGTATAGGTACCAATAAAAAAAATTAAATGTAACAAATAATATGAACATCTGTGCTGGAGTTGTAATATAAAAATAACAACAATTTGATTTCCCTTGAAAAGATTACGATTACAATAAAAATTTTCTGTTTTTGTCTAATACACGTGCGACCTATTATTTTAGACGTGTTTTTTGCTAAATATACCAATTGATCTAATGAAGCGATAAGAATTCTAAAAACAGATTTGAATTTGTCGTCAAGTCTACTTTAAATCGACGTTCCCACATTTTTGATTTTAACTTCTCCGAAAATTGAAATATAACAAATTTTAAATACTTTTTTTTAATATGACATTTTTAGGAATTTGGGGGATAATATCAAAAATGTCGTAAAGTCAATTTCAAGTAGACTTGACGAAAAATTCAAATCTGTTTTCAGAATTCTTATCTCTTCATTAGATCAATTTTTATGTTTGGCAAAAAAAACTTGTAAAATTCTATGTCACGCGTGTGTTAGACAAAAACAGAAAATCATGGTATCGAATCTCCTTAATATAAAGCACAGATTGTCATGCACAATAATACTATAATATAATATAATATGCAGTAGTAAACATCGTGAAAATATGTAAAAAAATACGCTATCAATCAAAAAACAGTTAATAGTAAAAAATATTGTAATTGTACTCAATTAAATCTTTTATCTAATATTTATTATAAATGACCACTAACTGTAAGCTAATAACACATGATGTTGAAAACAGTATTTAATTTAACTTCAGTATGCAATAAATATTGAATGTTGTTGAAACATGCATAAATATCGAATAATCATAATAATATGCAGAAATAAAAATATGCAATTGCACAAAAATCTTGCATAAAGATCTATAATAATGTACCAACAATATTATATTATAATATCAAGTAGGTACCTACATTTTCATAAAAAAAAAAATTAAGAAATAAAAATAAGACGACATACATGCTGGTTATCTTAAACAAATCACCCAATCACCGTTTATACTATGTACGTTTATTATATTATATTGTTGTCGTTACACACACCCTATTTCAAGACTACCGAGTTATATACCATCTACCGCGCTGCAGGCGGAAAATTGGTTAGGTTTGAAATCTACTGCAACACACACACACACACACACACACACACACACAAGATACATACGATATAAATACCAGCACCCTAA